TGTATAGAGAGAGACAGTACGTTCCTGGAGCACAAACTGTAATACAGAGAGACAGTACGTTCCTGTAGCACAAACTGTAATAGAGACAGACAGTACGTTCCTAGAGCACAAACTGTAATAGAGAGAGACAGTACGTTCCTAGAACACAACTGTAATAGAGAGAGACAGTACGTTCCTAGAGCACAAACTGTAATAGAGAGAGATAGTACGTTCCTAGAGCACAAACTGTAATAGAGAGAGACAGTACGTTCCTAGAGCACAAACTGTAATAGAGAGAGACATTACGTTACTAGAGCACAAACTGTAATAGACAGAGACAGTACGTTACTAGAGCACAAACTGTAATAGAGATAGTCAGTACGTTCCTAGAGCACAAACTGTAATAGAGAGAGAGAGTACTTTCCTAGAGCATAAACTGTAATAGAGAGAGACATTACGTTCCTGTACCACAAACTGTAATAGAGAGAGACAATACGTTCCTAGAGCACAAACTGTAATAGAGAGAGACAGTACGTTCCTAGAGCACCCTAGGCCTGTACATTTGGGAGAATGAAACCCTCCCTTCCCCGAAATGTAATAGAGAGAGACAGTACGTTTCGAGAACACAAACTGTAATAGAGAGAGATAGTACGTTCCTAGAGCACAAATTATAATAGAGAGAGACAGTCCGTTCCTAGAACACAAACTGTAATAGAGAGAGAGAGTACGTTCCTAGAACACAAACTGTAATAGAGAGAGACAGTACGTAGAGCACAAACTATAATAGAGAGAGACAGTACGTTCCTGGAGCACAAACTGTAATTGGACAAAAAAAGCATTTGAAAAAAAAATAGAAACATAACTTGTCAGACAAAGTACCATACGCCCACAGTGTCTAAAATACAAATTTTCTCATAAATACACTCATGCAAACTGGGTTTCATTCTAGCTACAAACAGATGCCTCTATCGTGTCATCATATATAAATTTCCTAAGGGCAATAACTCAAAAACCAAAATCAAATTATTGTCATTATCAAACTTGACCAAGATCTCATTATTATATTGTTATATATATAAATTTGGCTTCCAGACATGATAGAGGCTAAATTTTTTTTATCTGAACTTGATGAAACCCGGTATGCATATATATATGAATTTGAAGTATTTTTATAAATTCAAGAGCAAAAACTTCAAAACCGTCCATCCGATTATTACCAAATTCGAACGTGACCGAGATCTCATTAATATATACATTCATACCAAGTTTCATCTAGATCGGAAAGAAGAGGTAGCCTCTATGTGTCAACAAGCCAAATGTGGACAGACGGACAGCGGCGTTAGCAAAATACGTCCACATTTCCATGTGGATATATAATAAAAAATATTATAAATTCGACTTCAAATTATCACACTATAATTTATCTTATATTTACTTTCTTATCAGTATGTTGTCATATATAGATATTTATTATTTACGTCCGGGTATAATTCACAACATTACACGAACGATCATCTTATTTCTAGAATAACAACGTAAAAACAAAATGTTTGAGTCGAACCCGGATATGTATAAATATCTTTGTTAGACTATAGACTATACTTGATAACAGTATAGTAACATAATCTATCTCATACAATACACAAGAACTTATGAATATTCTAACAAATTGTTTATTTTTTAAAGGTATAGTACCTCTTAGGATGACCAAAATTTAAATTTCAAACTTAGTTAAAATGAGTCGTAGTTCAACAATGGACTTGCCTAGTGTCAAAACTATACAACAGAATCTCTATATAATCCAATCAATCCATAAAACAAAGTATTAATAAATTAAACTACGTGATTTTGAAATATGCTTAGAAACGTCTTTCAATAATTACATAGCTTAATTGATATATCGTGTTATATAGAGATTCTATTCTTTAGTCATGGCACCTGGCACCTGTTTAAGTCCAACTGATGAATATATACACTTGTTACCCAAGATAGAGACTTTAAAGTTGGGTTCCCTTATTTTCATTTATGCTAATACTTATATGAATAGAAAGAAGAGGTGTTCTAATGACTTGGAAAATTACCAGTTTGTCTCACATGTCCATAATTACTTCATTAGCTTTATAAGTAGAGAATTACCAGCACAATTTCAATGAGTGTCCGATCAAGAAGCGTCAAAAAGTATTTTTTGTTTATCCAGACTGTACTTACACGGGCATTTATGATTGGTTAAAACTCTTAATTATATGCAATAAGAACATAATGATATGATAAAGAATACATGATATTTCATTAGAAACACCAATTAATCAAATAGTTTGCTTAATTTGACACTAAAATATAAGGAAACTCATCTT